ACAAGAGAAGTAAATATAGGTTCCAATACTCATAAAATTGAGGATACAGTGATTTTCTATGCAGATCAATTTTCTTCCTATTATTCTAATCACTAAAATAAAAAGGTTTTATTATGGTGCGAATCCAGGGTTTACTTGAAACATGATTTTTAAAACTGGGAAGTCACATATGGCCTTTCTTTAGTTGAAATGTTTAGAAATTCTTCATTGTGTACTAACCATGCAAGATAGAAACAGAAAAATGTCCGTTTGAGATGCAGAGGTTCATATACAAACCAAGGAAGGATGAGGTTTCAGGAGCAATGCAAAATGTGCTTTGGAAACGTAGTTGTGATTAAGAAGTGCGCATGTGAATTAAATATAAGTGCAGAATTTTTATGCCATTGAAATATGAAGCAGTTTTATTATATTCATTCAAGGTCAAACCCTCCTTATGGTTTGTGTGACACAATTATGAGATTCAGAGGAACTGAACTACTCAGACAAAGTGACGTGAAAACAAGGACTCAGTAAATAAGCTTGTTGCATGTGGGCTGGAAATTCACGTGTATGACTTGAAGAGCAGACTGAAAGGTCATACAGAAGGTCTTCAAGAGCAGCCAGGTTTCTCTCCAGGTCTGTGGCTTTCAAAGAGTGGTCTCTCAAGCTGCAGCAGCAGCACCTTAGGAGAACTTATGAGAAATGAACATTTCAAGGCTCTAGATCAGATCTAGAATGAGATTAAATCAGAAACTCAAGGGTTGGGGTGCATCTCTGTTTTTAACAAGGCTTCTAGGAGACTTTAACATTCTCTGAAGTTTAAGAGCTGCTATTCAAGATTATGAAGACCTATGAAAAATACTAAATGAGGCAGGGAAGAATAAAATTATCCTTTAAGAAGAACTGAGGTTAGACAGAAAGAAGGAATATTTCGTGACTATAGATTTTCAGATCATTGAAATGGATTGCTAAGGGATCCCACTCATAATAGAGCAGCCTTCCATGAAGGATCTTTAAAACCAAGTTATTCTATTTGACTGGAAAAGAATAATGTAGTCCATCCAGAAAATAAGCATAAAGAGTGAGGAATCTCTTAAGGCTTTTCTGTCTACAATTTGGGGCTTCTCTCAACTTTAATAGGAAACTTATTGTAACAAATATTATCTAGTAAAGGAATGTGGCTTCAAAATGAGACATATACTGACACAGTATGTAGACATAATTAAGAACACTATACCATTTTCTCCTAATTCAATTCAAAGTCAATGCAAAGCTTTAGAAGGACTACTAAGCCACTTCTTTCAATATTACTGGGAAAGTATCCATGATTACTGAGCATAATAGAACAAGAAACAAGTAAAAATAATCAACATTTTGGCTGGAGATATTTGTTTCTCTACTTCTTTCCCCCAAACCATAAAATAATATATAAGAAATGAACCAAGAAAACAACTAAATAAAATGGAAAGTTTGCAGTAATGTCAAGTAACACAAATCCACTGCAAATTATCATTTTTTGGTTTTGTTTATTTTAGGTTTGCATTTGCTAGGTAGAGTCGGGCTTATAATTGTGTCCCACCCCCAAGAGTGTGCCATAACACTCGAACATCTGCCCATTAAGTGGGACCACATTCTTCCCTCCTCCCCTCCCCCTCTCTTCAGTCCCCCTCCCTCCACCTTGAATTGATTTGAGGTCAGCTATCTCACAATAATCATTCTGGTAAATTATGCAATTTATAATACAGCTGGCATCTTTCAAAAATACATAAAATATATAAATACATGGAAGCACGGAAGTATATCACAAAGTATACTTAAATGTATGACTCTGGGAAAATTGTTCCCTCTCTATTTAATCAATAAAAATGGATCACAGAGTACTCGTAATTAGTTACCTTAGTTTAGAATTAAGATCATTCAAAGGTTTCCCCTTTTTTATTTAAAAGAACTTTGATGTCATTTCCAATAGTAGTATATTTCTTCCAAAGTCAAATGTTCACATATGTAGAGATATAGAATTCTTTGGACAGCCCATTGCTCACTTCAGTTGTATGTTAACTGCCTGATTTTCCTTTCTCTACATATGCATGCCACTTGCTCACCACAACTTGCACAAAAGGTAGAAAAAAAAAATCACAGATTATGGTAGTAGTATCTTTAAATTAGTTAAAAATCTGATCTATTTAACCAGCCACCATGGAATAAACTAAAATACTCAGAACATAGTGACATTAAGTCCTTCCTATAAAGAATAAATACATTTGATTTATTAAATATAGCTGAGTAAAAAGCAAACACAAGTGACAAATGCATGTTACCTAAGTAATCAATGATATTATATCAATTAAATCAATGATCAATGATATTGGTTTACTTGCTATATTAAAAACATCAGTTTTAGCCTTGTGGCCAACAGAAATCAATATTATGAAATTAGCTAGTGCAAATGTCTAACTAAGTAGAAACTTACTTAAAACAAACTTTGAAAATTTGTTTTTTTTTTTTTAAAGCATAATAGAATGCATCTAGAATTCATCCAGCTGGACTATAGCACTCCTTATAGCTTAACTCAATTTGGAAAACTCATATTGATTCTAATTTTCTTTTCTACAGAGAAAGTCTAAAAGAATTGATGAAGAAATGACTGAGGAAAGAGGGGGACTTTCCCACTAAAAACATAAACTTTGAAAAACATAACTCTTTAATTATATTGTATTTTAAGTATATTTAAATATACTGTAGACACACACAGTTTGTGAAAGCATTTGTCAGTATACTAAACTACCACAACAGATTGCCTGGCACATCTTGGAAAAATGCCTCTGCTTTTCTTTAAAAAGCAATAGCATGGAATTTGCTAGAAGGAAAAAATATAGATATCATATTATCAAATTCAGGAAACTATACTGCACTTTATCTCCTGAAGATAAAAAAGTAAAAATAAAAGTGCTATTCTGAGTTGATAATGGTAGTAAAGAATCAAGCCAAAGATATCAAATTTCTATTTAATAAATCCAAACTCTAAACGATCAAGAAGCCAAATAAGAGTGTACTCTTCATGAAAAATTATTTGTCTTTTGTGTTAGCAGAAAAGGGAACTTAAATCTCTTCTTACATTCAAAGTTTGCAAAATCCACTTTAGGAAACTTATTCAAAAATAGAGAATATAATGCCACAGCACAATGGGTTTAAAAAAAGAGTTGGCTAAAAACAAAGGTTCCCACCTAACCAGTCTCAATTCGCATACTCAAAAAACAAAAGAAAACAAAACAAAGATAGAAAAAACTTTGAAAGCTTTCCTAAAGTGCAGGTTGGAAAATTTCTCCAGCTGGGGCTAAAACAGAATTCATAATATTCCCAGAACAACTGTGATGACTCTGCTCAGTGCATTTACTCAAGTTTGGGGGGTAAACAATTCTTCCCTCAAAAACCCATTTAAAAAAACCTATGAACCTCAAGTCACCTTACATGACATCTAAGTTATTAAACTAACCTGTCCAAATGAAACTTTCAAATTAGAGGCTATTCCAACATTACTAATCTATATGAAAAACACTCTAAATACACAGAGAACATCAGTGAAAACTAGATCAAAAACATATTCGCACATGTAATTAACTATCCTAGCAAAAGCATTATAATGAATGTACTATATTTTCCCTTGAGGCACCCTATTTAGAGAAGAAATATGATCTAGGAAAGCTTTGAATAAATATTTAACGTTAAGAACTAGAAGTGATTATACTGGTTATGTAATGGCTTTGACCTATTATTACTAACGTGTCATAAACATACCATGTGGGGAAGTATGAAATAGAAGTTCATTTGACATCAGACAGTTGAAATACTAGCAAGAACAATAGTAGGGTCTACTAAAAACAACCTACCTTTCCCCATCTCCTTAACAAATTTCCTAGAATTTTTACTTACCTGTGATAGCGTTCTAATGTAACAAACATAAATATCTTGATACGCACTTTGTGATATAGTAACAACCTTCTATATTTTTGTCCAACCTGTATTCCTCTGATTTATAAAAATAACAAACAAATAGCAAGACTGCTAAAAACTGTCTTAAACTCATCAGTGTTTATGATAAAATTCTAATAAATGTAGTGACATTCATTTTGACATGTCTGCAAGATTCTCAGAACACACGGGACTAGAATGGGTTCCCATCTATCCTGGAAAACAAGAACAGCCTTGTTTTGATTCAAGGTGGATAATTCCTTTTGCTTTGAGTCTTCAATGTCCATCTTCACAGCTGTTTGAACATTTCCCTAAATTTGTAGCATTTATTTAAAATCAGAATTGTATATTTGAACATATAAAGGTGACTAATTTTTACTTTGGTCTTGATGTACATTTATGAAAAAGTTAATGCAGTTTATATAAAGGTACATTTATACATCTAGTTGTCTCAAATAATCAGCCACCTATTTATTTATTTATCTATCTATCTATTTATTCTGGATGATATTTATTTTTCTTTTAGTCCAGAAAATATTTTGGAGAAATCTGAGTTGATCTGTTACAAAGTTATACAGACCTCATCTAAGAATATACAATATAAGCGAATTAAATGGTTATCAAAGTATTAGATAACAATTTACTGGCAAATGTTGAATCCCCAAGCTCCACTCCAACAGCATTCATGTGGTTATAATATAAAGTTACCATTTTTATGAGAACAAGATTAGGAAAGAACTGGAGATTCAGAGGGGACAACATGACATTAAATTTTTGCCAATATGAAGTATATGAGTTGGTTTTGATTTCTCTTATCAAGTTCTCTACCTTAAGTCAAGAAGAGAAAAATTAGCAGAACCGACTACTTCTCTAACTATACATATGCAATAGGTGAACCTGGTCCCAGCACAGACTTTCAAGCAATACTGGGTACAGGTTGCTTCAGAGTCAAAAGCAGAATTATAAATCATTTAAACCCAAAGACTAGTTTCACTCTACTTGTCAGTTCAATTAGAAAATGATGAATACAGACACAGAAGAGAAAGACTTACACTGGTAGAGACATGGCATCCTTTTTAGCAGGGAATGAAAGCTCTCATCTGTGTTCTTTATGCAACTGAACTAACATAATTATCCCAAGAATAACAGGCAGCAACATAAAGGACAGGCTTCATCTTACTAACCAAATTCAAGAAGCTATAACTCAATCTCATTTTGCTAATTATGCATTGTTAGGTATTTCCAAATTCAATTTGTTACTCTTTTTTGCAGCATTCCTAGAGAGGTAGTTACAGGAAATAATCCCATTCCTTATAAGGCCAACAACTGTTTTCTGGTAAGAAACATTTGGTAAGCGTGGTGAACTATAAACTGCTATTATAAGTTCCATTTCATAATAGTTTATTCTTACACAACAAAGTATTTCGATTCTAATTCTAAACACTAATATGCAAGACAACCAAGAAGCCTGTCTAAATTTCTTGGTGGTTAATGTTAATTCTGAATCAAAGCAAAGAAGAATGTCACCTGATTGTTTTGAAAGAGTTTCTCAGGCTCTGCCTCAGTAATTAGCAAGCTGACATTGCATACTGAACACTTATCAACATGATCAATGGGGCTGCTTCCTTCTTAGGAAAATAGGTAAACCAGTTCAAGGAGTTTGCTTTTAGAATAGACTGTGATATGCCACAAACATAGTGGTTCTTTTGGAGAATTTCATTCCCAGCAGTTTCATCTTGGTAACATTTAACAATTTCACTATTTTAACATTTTGAAATGCCAAAAAGAACACACTGATCCTGCAGCGAAGCTTATTAGAGAAGAGCGATCTCACTGGCAAGGCAGATAGGAGCACAGTCCATTGGGAAAAGGGGAGAAAAAAGACAGAAAACAGTGGATGACAAACAAAGCCCGCAGGACTCCAGTGTGAGATCTGATTTTCACCAGAATGCAAAACTTTACACACCAAATTAAATAATATCACCTATGGCTTATTTCAGGGTCTAGTCATAACATTCTTTTTACATACATATATATTAATGCTGTTAAAATCAAGGGGCATGAATCCCTAACTTGCCTCCCTAACAGCGAGTATGCAAGCATAGTAATTTTATTTCTGAAAGGTCAGACCTGAGTGCGTCCACTCGGTGGCATCATCTTACCCCATGGAGACTTAGGAACACAATGAGACCTCTTTCCACCAGACACTCAGTACATACCTCAGCCAAGACTGCTCCTCGCCTGGAGTGGGAGACATCTTTGAAACAAAAAGAGTCCATTTACAGTAAGTCCTACTGATAAGCTAAAATGGATTAATTCTTAAAACCATGTCCAACATCAAGCCTCTTGTTCAACTGTGGTAATTGCCATTGTGCCTACAAATAGCCTCCTGTAGGCTGCAATGTTTAGAATTCTTGAGGTGCATGTCTTCTATGTACATATAGATATAATCACCAAATAATCCATCTCACTTAAGAAACTATATATTATCTTTTATTTTTATAAAATTGGTCTTAAATGAGTTAGAGAGCAGAAGAGGTGGAAGGAGTACCAAGGAAAAATAAAAGAGAAAAAAAATCAATCAGTATATCTTCCCTTGCAAACTGTCAGGAGGGTGAGATTAGAAAAGCCACACTTTAAATCAGACAAATTCCTATGGGAACCTTAAAGATCTCGCTCTAAGCTTCTCAATATTCTGCAAAACAGATTGATGCACTGGTGACCCCTCTGATACTCAGTGTCCACTGAGTTTCCTTTAAGACATTCCATTCCCTCTATTGTTCAAAAGATATTAACTTGGTAATAAAAATGAGGAGAAGTTATGAGACCCATAGAGATATCTTTCAACACCTTTAAAACCAGTAAATCTGCTCTAATCTCTTATTGGATTAAATGCTGGAGGAGGATTAATGTATTAGGAAATCAGCAACAAAGGCAAAAAGAGCACTTATTTGGAGGAAAACAAAAAAGATGTGGGCAAAATGATTAACAGGTTACCAAATATTTTCTGTTTTTCTCATTGGTTCAATTTAAAATCTCTGAGAAATAAATACTCTCTTACCATGAGAAGCAATTAAACTTTCAGATGACCAAATGACAGCTCTCACGTCTATCACAAACATATTTGCATTCAGGAGGTGGTCCATTTACCATGTGTGATGTGTGAATCTTAGTCAAGAAATGGCTTTTAAATATGCAACGTCAACTTTATTTCTCTAATGGCTAGTTCTGAGTTAAATGGTTCCATCAATATTCAATATTCAAATTTAGGTGTCACATTTGTTTTTCCTCAGAGAGAAGGGAGTCCTGTAGCTATCTTTTTCTCTATCAAAAGTTTATTGTATGCCACACGTTTCTTTACATGCATTTCATATTTTAGTTTAGTCAGTTTCTAGGTTTGGGGCAAAGATCGATGTGTCTCTGGAAAGACTTAGCTGCTGATATGGTTTATAGACATTAAGCATTAACTCAAGAGCCTGTTTTTCAAACATGCACAATTACACATTTTCCACAGACAACAATGCACATAGACAGCCAGGTGCACACACATTCAGTAAATAGTAAATGGTAGAAACCTCCAGAAGTAGCACCAGCTAGGGCTACACAGCTAAGTAAACACCGACACACGATTTGTTCACACAGAATAAGAACTCCACGAAAGACACTTGGGGACCACACGGGTCAGTAAGTGAGGGGGCGGGAGGTGGAGAAAGTATTTCCAAACACAACTCTGCCAAGTCTTACCCTTAGCATTCCCCGGTCCTCAGGGCAGAAGCTCCCTCGACACCTCGACCAGCTCAGGGGCTGGTTCTCTGCTAGAATGAAACGAAATGTCCCCCTTGATGAGGGACAGCTCTGCGGGGAGCCGCGGCGTCCCGCCCGGGCCAGAGGAGGCTCCGACGCGGCTGGAGCCCAGCAGAGGCGGGGGCGGCCAGCCGCAGGGAAGGAAGGGGCGGCGGAGGGCGCGCGGGGAGGCGGCGCCGGCGGGACGCCGGCAGCGGGTGGGGTGGAGCGGGGTGCTCCTGGCGGTCGGTCAGTAAGTCGGTCGGTCAGCGCCGGCTCCCCTGTCCCCGGCACCGCCCGCGACAGTGAGTCTCGCCCCTTCCCTGGGCTCTTCCCTGGGTCCTCCCGTGAGCCCCGCCTGGCCCGGAGTGCGGCCGCCGGTTTCCCCCAGCCCGGGCGCCGGTCGGCTAGCCCCGCTCGCGCGGTCCCCGCCTCTCCCTCGGCTCGCGCTCTGTCTCTGGCTCCCTCTCGCTCCAGTCCCATTTATGAAGCGCGGTCCCATCACGTGTTAATGAGCCTTTGTCCTGCCCTGGCGGCGGCGGCAGCGGCGGCGGCGGCTGCACAGACCCCGCTGAGAGAACTGCGCGGGGAGGGACCGGTGCAGGGCACCCGCGGCTCCAAACTTTGCTTGGCGCGGGGGACCCGCAGCGGCGCCTGCCTTGGGGGCCAGAGGGGACAAGCCTCACTGGCCCGCGTCACCTACTTCTCCTCTTCTTCCTCCTACGCCGCGGCGCTCCCGGGGCCCCCGGCTACCATGACCCGCTCTGCTCTAGGATACTATTACACCCTGGCTGCGCCAAGAGGGGCTTGTGCCTGCAACGCCCCCGACCTTGGGGCCATTAATCATGCGCGCCCCGGCTGCGCGCAGCGCTAAAACCTTGCGCGGGGGTCACGTCTGGGGCAGTTGACTGAGCCGGAAAAGGAAGGAGAGCTGGAGCTAAGAGGCCAACCAGCGCCGGGCCCGGGGACTGCGACCTCGCGCCCCTCTCCCTCCACCCCAGGCCGTCCCCGCTGCGGACTCCCAACGAGCCGGGCCCCGGAGCAGAGGAAACCCTAAGACCGCGCCGCGCAGCCCCTGAGCCGTTTGCTACCTGGCTGTGACCAGCGACCAGCTGTCCTCAGCCCTCGGGGCGCCGCCCAGCTTCGCGCTGGGCGTTTTCTCCAGACCCTGACGCCCCTCCCCGGCGCGACCACTCAGGCGCGCCCCACCCGCCAGTCCCTGGCTGCAGTCAGTTGGGCTCCGTAGGCGCCTGGCTTCGAGCCTCCCTGCCCTGCGCGCCCCTACCCAGCTCCCCCTGGCCCCATTCCTCACACCTTCTGCTGGCAGAGGACGCCCCCCTCCAGGGCCGCGCGGGGACCTCTCGGGTTCGGGGGCGGCCGCCGCGGCCGCCTGGGGATCTGCGGTGCGCTCCGCGGCCGCTGCAGGAATTAGGGGACATGCTCGTTAATTGGTTCCACTATCAGTCGCCGTCTGCCTCCCGTGTGCACGGATCAAACCTTAATTGGTCTTTACATTCATCATGGTGAATTGCGAACCTACAAGCAAGTCCCAGCCGATGCAGCCGAGAAGGCTCTCCTCCCACCGCCCCCAAGGCCCGGGCAGGGTTGTGGTGGCGGCTGTCCTGGTTATTTAGACATCTTTATCTCTTGTGAGTGGGGTCGGGAGAGGACTGCACGGTTTCCACCTGACGGAGCCACGTCACACCCATAGGCCGCAAGGGCCCCTCTAAAGGCATTTGGTTGGCTTCCCAGCCCTCCTATTTGTGGCCGCCTTGGCGTTCATTTTATGACACCTTGGGGAAAGGTCTGTCCCACACGTCATCCTGAGGGGCCCTCTTTCACCACCACCCACCCACACACACACACACACAGCCCTTCAGCAATGGTACTCGTTTGGACCATTGGTATAACCGGGAAGGCAGGCGTCTCAAGGAAGGAAGGGAAACAGGTAGGCAGGAGGCCGCCAACTGGTGGGTTCTAGGTCCTGGAGAAAGGAAGGCTGTAAATTGTGTTGGAAACGTCAAGCCAAATAGTAAAAACTTCCTGCAGGGAGCTAGTTCAATCTTTGAAAAGTAGACCCCTTTTCAAAGGCTAGGAAAGGCATTTCCCATCAGGCAAGTGGCCATTTGAAATAGAGTCCATTGTGGAAATGATCATGTTCTACTGGCAAGTAAATGGAAAAGATTTTAAGCGAAGATCTGACGGACCTGTGGACAAGTGACAAATGATGGAGAGAGGTGGCTGGATGTGGTGCTGTTGCCCCGAGTACCCTCGCAAGCTCTGCTCCCAGCCATCCTGAGCCCACCTCTGCACAGACGTTCCATCTGAAGATTTACA